GCGTTGAATCTTATTTTATTGGAGGGTTTTGTGTGGATTATTCGCTGTTGATGCCCCGCCCGTACGATATGCATAAAAATAAAACTGTTAATGAAAAGGAGCAGAAGAAGTGGATTTGTGTTTATAATAAAAGTACCAAGGACGTTTTAAAAAAGGGTTTATCAGTACGGGAAAGCAAACTAAACAATCCTACGGTGTCCCCACTCGGTGGGCTTGTTGATGTTCAGCAATAAGCTCTAAAGAAATACTACGTGAATTTCAATCCCATTCGTGTGGTTACCATCACTGGGAATAATATACAGAGCCTTCTCAAAACTCTCCCAGAATATTTATGGACTTAAAAAAAAAAAAGGTAATTTGACTAGAATGTTTCGAACTGTATTGCCCCACGTCATGATTTTGGGGTTAAATCTCCCAGGATGTTTATTTGTGGACAGAATCAATACATGTCACGTTAGATTTTCGCAATTCTCTCCTCAATCAGCGAGAATTTCATACCTCAATATTCAAGGAATGTAAATAAATTCTGACCGTTTGGGTATTTTAGAAAAGAAGGGGAAAAAAATGACCTAGTATGATGACTGAATGTGATTAAAAAGATAGCTTCTCTTTCACTGTGACGCGGTAATAAAGAGGCTGTCCCTATTAAATATTTGTGAACAATTATAATAAGTGTAAAAACGACGAATATGTTTTCAATACAAATAAATAAAGCAGACAATAGAGGATAACTGAGCTGATATTTTAGTTGCCGCAGCTAAAATATGGGAAACCCATTGCTGTGAGTAGCAGAAGCAAACAAGAACCCCCCATGAATGTGACTCTTGTGACAAGAAACCCAGCACCAACAAGCTCTTTCGATGGGTGGTAGGAATCAGTTTTTGGCATATGGATCACCACAAATGAATTTTACTTTTAAAAGGAAAGAAGCCGAAGTACAAAGAGGCTGTGTCAACTTGGTTCACAATGTGGATGTGGCTTGTCTACGTGGAAATGTTCACTTGCTGTGTGGCCTCTAGTGTTTTTTTTTTTCAAAAGAAAAACTGGACCGGCCGGTAGCTTGGACTAGACCGGGTAGATAAGGTCATGGGTTTTTATGAACAGCCCTAATTATGCTTAACCTGCTCCGTGGTCACGGGGGATTTAAACGAAGCTCCAGTAAGTTAAGCACGTCAAGTTCCCGACCGCATGTGAGTTCAAATATTTGGGGTCTCTTGGGCTTCTATTTTGGAAGAGAAGAAGAGGGCTGGGTTTTCTTTCCTTTTTCTCGGCCTGGGTTTGTTTGACACTCGTCATAAAATTCCTTCCGCCGAAAAGAGGCACATCTATCCTCGTCCTGGGATTCAATTGGCAAGGGGTCAGACACTCTCTGGGTCCGATCCTGAGCTGTTCAAGGTGTCAGGAGAGGCATATCTGCATTTAGTGAAATTGAAAGATTTCTATCTATTGAATCAGAAAAAAAAAAGAAAAAAACTTACTTGTTATGTTCTCATGCCCATAAAAATAGGCCATAGTAAATCATGAGTTTTTTTTTTTTTTTACCAGGGTATCTATTGGAGCGAATCTAATGACTAATCCCTCGGGTATTATCGATAGGGGCGACCCTCCCAGGTACGCTTGCTCCATTCCCATCCCTCTAAGAATCGAAACCCAGAGGTGATGGTTAAGGGACACAACTCCCTTACCAGTTGTGCCAGCGCGCGCTGGTTAGTAAATTATGAGTTAGTTTCTCTACCTTTAGATGGTAGTTGAGTCCAAACCTCTCCTAAAATTTTTGTACAAAAAAAAAAAGCACATCTTGTATTCTTGTTGATGCGCCGGAAGTCTGAAACTATGGACGTGCATCTCATTTCTAATTTCTTTTTCTTATTAACAGAGGCTGGATTAAGCGAAAAAAATTATTACTCTCTTGTAGCACGATAAACTAATATTTAAATTTTATTAAGAAAAGTAAGCACATTTAACAAAATTGCTTTTGGCAGTAGAATACCTATATCTAAAAAATAAATCTCTTTTAAATATATGAGGCCACCGTCGCTCAGCTTTCCATAAATTATTCACTAACTGACGTTGACAATCGATAATTATTTATATAACAAGAATATTAAATACAAAATTTACGGAAGTTTATGCAACGATTTTTTTTTTCCATGGAAAAGAATTATAGTCATTATGATTTTTGTGGGGCTATGTAAGGCCATAATAAAGGACAAGTCGAGAAATTGACCGAATATATCTAGCTATCTCATTCGTGCCATGCTTTTTTATTAAATTATTGAAGGAAGGCGGGTTCATAGGTTTATAGGTTTAAAAATAGTCTGAGAAAAACTTTGAGATGGGAAGATGCGGATTGTGAAAGGAAACGGCGTTGAATGAGTGGGAATCCAAGACCAGAAACAGAGCTTTAGAAAGAGAGCAAAGGCATTTTCCTAGCTTGTAAAACACGCAGTCCATATACAGCCAAAGCTAGGGCCATTTTCTTTATTTAATTAAAATTTTTTTCTTTTCAAAGCTTAGAAGGCAAAATGTTTTCATCTCTTTCAATACGTTTTTTGAAATTTAGATTTGTATTATTCTTCTTATAAAGATAAGACTGCTTACTGTCTTAATCAATAATTTATTTGTAAAGCTAGTGTTATTCGCTTTCATTTGATTTGATGTGTCCCTTGTATTGTGATTTCTCCATATATACATGTAATTACATACAAAATTTAAAAAATCTAAATCAATCATTCTAAATTCATGAATGCAAACTCTCTCTCATCTCTTAGCTTGTAAAATTTGGAGTGTTGAGACAGATTCTCTATATATCCTTTTCAACAGTTCATTGATTTGGCCCTCTGTTGTTTTGACTCGTTATCATCATCACTTTAACTGTTGTGCGGCCAATCCACTCTTTTTTTTTTTTTTGACCAGGAACAATCCATTCATTATTTCATGGTGTCCCAATAATAAGCAATCGCCGCGGTATATTATTTTGTTTTTTTAATACTATTATTGTTACTTATAATTTAATCAAATTTCAATGTGATTTTTTCCTTATAATTTTATAAAATCTCGGTTTAAGTTAACACTATTAAATATAGGGACTAAAACAACAACCCGTTATGTTTAACGAAGTAACTAAAAGGTATGCCATTAAATTCATATCAAGACCTTATAAAATTATAGAAATAGAAAACCACAACTTGAAATTGGAAGGACTAAAATCAAAATTTGACCAAATTATAAGGGCCAACAATAATATTAATTTTTTCCAACTAAATTATTTGTTCTCTTAGAAAAAAAATTAAGGGAAAATTGAGGGAAAATACCCCATTGAGAATTTAATTGGCAAATGGGATCTAAGAAATTTGTGCAAGTAAACTTCCGTTGTGTGCAAGTGATTTTCCGTATGCATGCAATTGATCTTCTATGGTGTGCAACTAATCTTTTTATGTGGAACTGATCTTTCTAAGTCCTATTTGCCAATTAATTCTCAATAGGGTATTTATCCCCAATTTTCCAAAAATTAAACTGATCAAATTAATATAAAGTATATCTCAGAATTATTCTTTGAATTAATTATTACATAAATTAGAATTAACTATTTATATAATAAATTATAAACTTCAGTAAGTTGGTTCGAATTAAATATTAGTCCCACGAGTTTATAACTAATTTAATTTACACTTTTTTCCTTAAAAAACAAGTCTAAATAACGAAGGTAGAATTAAAGAATGATAATGTTATTGTCAACTTTTTTTGTTTGGTCAAAAATGTCATCGTTAACTTTAAAAATGTATTGTTGCTGCAAAATGAGAGGTGCAAGAATAATAGAACTCCACACGCAACTGGCTGGTTACCAATTTTGACAAACATACGGATCAATAGCTTTTCACTGCCCAGAAGCCCCCTCACTTATTTTCATCCCTGCCCAACAGTGCAGTATCAGACATCTCTGTGATGTTAGCCGACTGGAAGCCACACTTGTTCAGAAGGGCTACCAAGATCTTAACAGGGACAACAGACTAGTACGACACTAAGTCCTGTTTCTATTAACCGGGTCTTTTCTTCTCTAAAACAGGCAACCTAAGCAGTAATGGAATCTATTCCTCTTTCCTGAACCAGTTCGTCCAACCATTTTTCGTGGGGCCCTTTTATGCTCTGCCTATTAGTATTCATCAAAAGTGTCATGCATTCTATCCTTTCAGAATTTGTCGGGATGGCAAGTAGTCCCTGATGTTTCTTCCCTTTTTGTCACTTGTGCGATCCATTTGCTTAGCTAATAGGAATTTAAGTTAGTTCCTTCGCCTTGTTAGACCATAAGAATGAGAATTCAGTCCTAGAATACTCTGCCTGTGGATTCTGATTCCACAAGCACCTTGGGATGGAAAGTTCCTGTTGTCCACAAATTGACTCCTTATTATATTGAGTTCTCGACGTGCCACACGCAACTGTTGCTTGTCAATGTCAATCTTGAAATTATAATAAGATTAAACAACTGTTTTCTCATGGGTATGTGATCTGATCTCACCTCAACTTGAAAAACCAAACCGAGTTTTTCTCAAATGATATTTTTTGTATTCATGCACTAGTATCAACAGATTCTTTTCACATCACATTTCCTTTTCTCCGAGAGGTATGTCTTTTTTCTCTAATTTCCTACTCTGATCTACGCCACCCACAAATAAACAAATATTATAAAGAAACCAATAATGCATCCTATCAAGAATGATGCGACAAAATTGTTAAATTTTCATCACTTGCGTCCCTTCCTTCTTTGTTGTCAAGTTGTCAACAGATCCTTCATCCCCTGCTCCTACAAAGACACCACCCATCTCTCTGAACTTTACTCTTCATGTGTGTCTCAGTGTGAGCGAGTGTGCGTGCGTGTGGGGAGAGACTGAGAAAGGGAGAACAAGAGGGATGGCGAAAAGGCACTGTTACAAGGATTTACTGCCTTTTGCGGCGCTGGTGACCATGGAATGCAACAACGTGGGACTGAATACTCTGTTCAAAGCTGCAACATTGAAAGGCATGAGTTATCATGTCTTTGTCGTCTATGCTTATGCTGTTGCAGCGATTGTTCTCCTCCCAGTATCCTTTTTTTCCAGAAGGTCATGAATTGTTTGCAAGCACCCATCGAATCAAGCGATTATGATTCATGGTTTATTCTACTGATCTTCTGTTTTTCGTTTTTTTGTTGCAGGTCAAGGGTGCTTCCTCCACTCAGTTTCTCCATATTCTCCAGAATTCTCCTTCTTGGGTTCATCGGGTACATGCATGCGGTTTTCAGGCCTTTTCGTCTGAGTTTATTCAAGTCCTTTAATCATTTTTTTTCAAAAATTTTTCTTGTTTAATGAGCTTGAATTATAGGTGTTCATCTCAGATCATGGGGTACACGGGCATCAGTTACAGCTCTCCCACACTTTCGTCGGCCATAAGTAATCTGGTCCCAGCTTTCACTTTCTTGCTTGCCATTATTTTCAGGTTTCTTTCTTTCCCTTTCTTCATCAAATTTCAGTATTTAAATATCTTCCCCATCTGTCACGGAGGAGGCACAGAATGTGAGGACGAAAATTCCAGTTTGATCCTCACCATTAATTTCAAACATTGATGAGTATATAAGAAAAACAACTTGCGATATATGATTAGATGCTCACTATCTGTTTCGTTACTGTGAAAAAAAGCTGTTCCTATTGTACATTTATAAACTGTAAGTTTAAGAATAACCAATGATAGTAAAATTAAATAGATCAGACACAAGATACTAGGTTTGCTGACTGTTCGTTCTTGTTCTATTCATTATTACCAAAATTAAGGATGGAAACGATTGCAATAAAAAGTACGAGCTGCCAAGCTAAGGTATTGGGCACTATAGTATCGATTTCAGGGGCATTTGTGATTACTCTGTACAAAGGACCACCCATCATCATCACTCATGCACCTTCCTTTTCACTCCATCAACCTCTTAACATTCTGAAATCAGTGGATCGAAGTTGGGCCATTGGTGGCCTTCTGCTCACAGCTGAGTATATACTAGTTACGCTTTGGTACATTGTCCAGGTATACATTTCTTCTTTCTATTTCTGAAATCTTCAAAATGCTACATTTGAAGGTAGTTTTAATTCCAAATGTTCATTCTGCAGGTGCAAATCATGAGGGTTTACCCGGATGAGTTAACCGTGGTGTTTTTTTACAACTTATGTGTAAGCATAATGGCAGCAGTTGTAGGTATATTTACAGAGCCAAATCCAGATGCTTGGAAGATAGGACCCAGTACAGCTTTGGCCTCCATTCTTTGTTCCGTAAGATTCCCAAAACAACTGATAACTTATTAAACAATTCTTACACCAAGGTGAATTTTGGACGCTGTCTTTCACATTTGTAGGGAATTTTCGGGTCATTCGTGAACAATACAATTCACACCTGGGCACTGCGCATAAAGGGGCCACTCTATGTAGCAATGTTTAAGCCACTCTCAATTGCCATTGCTGTTGCCATGGGGGTTATCTTCCTGGGTGACACTCTCCATCTAGGAAGGTACGATATTATGAGTGCATCCATTTTCTGCATTTCCCCCTGCCTTAACATAACAAGCACACGTTCGTGCACAAATGAGATAACCAAATAAGTATTGACAATCGGTTCATCCTTAAGAAACTGACACATTATGGTAGCAGAGAAGGAACTATGCAATTATATGATTCATTGAACTGTTGGTTTTGCTCAAGTCTGTCTGCTTTTCCTGCAGTCTGATTGGAGCCACGATAATATCGATCGGGTTTTATACAGTAATGTGGGGAAAATCAACAGAAGAGGTGGATGAAAATGTTGACAGAGTGGAACCACCTACCGCAGAGAATGTTCCACTCCTGCAAGGCTACGAAACTGAAAGAACTGAAAAGAAAATGCATGCAAATGTATAGAAGGGGAATACAATTGTAATATAGTTGTTCATAGCTCTTAACATCTTAAATTAAGAAGACATATGCAGTCAAAGAACAGCATAGTATAATGTAGCCCGCAGGGGGCCCATTGTGTTGTTTCGTACGTCTAACTTGTATATTCCTCACCCTCCAGAGGATGAATGAGATTGTGTCCTTTAAATAATGTTTTGCAAGTCGTCTTTGACGTTGACGGAAAGGTGGTCTCACAATGGTCTCTGCTTATTGGGAAAACTTAGGACACACAAAATGCTTCTTGACAAACGGCTTTCCGTCAGAAATGAGCTAGAATTACCTGTTTCAAGTTTCCACAGAGGAAGGAGCAACCTTTCTGCGACTGTTGTTCACGAGCAAGCTGGCATTTTTCTTTCTATGGTAACAAGTCATCTCGACTGTAAAGGAGATGGAACTTTTGGATAGATTATCTCACCGTGTGTCAGTTGAATGGGACACATAAAGTAATAGCACAGCCTACACGAAAGGTGACGAAATGCTGTGAAGAGCGACGAAATAAAGACTTTTGGATACCTGGCGAAGACGAAGAAGAAAAACGTACCGAATCGAATTGGAATGTCAGTACATGCACGGGCTTGGTTCCTTCTTGGTTACTTCCAAGCTATTTGAAGATGATTGGATTCCCATCGATTTTTATTTTGTTCTTTTGATAATCATGCATGGAAACCCTTGGTTTGTGACAAGGAGCGGAATAGGCCATTACAAAAATAAATATATACTCCCCCCTAAATTTTATTATGAGAATTTCTTTTTATTTACAAATTATTTTTACTTTTCTACAGAGTAATTTTGAAATTTTACCAAAAGAAACTAATTTTAATTAACACAAAATAATTCTATAGCATTCATTAAAAAACCTGAATGCTAGTTTTCAAACGGCCCATCCACACTAGTGCTCCAATGGAAAATACCCAACAGTCCATTAAGGTAATTCAAATCACTAGGTTTTATTTCAAACGAACCAGCTTTGATATTAACATTTTATAGTAACAGTAATATTCTCTATAAAAATAGTACATGCTTCTCCTTGCCTAACAAAAAATATATTGGTTATGACTAGTGAAAGTTGTGAATACGACATCACATCGTACAAGAATGGCATTACTAGGCTCCCCAATCCTTTCTGCTTCAAGATAATTATCTTGTGTTTCAAAGGTCCAGCATACAAATACATAACACCTCAACTCCCAATGGGACCAAGGCTTCATGCATCAAAAAGCATTATGATGCCCTCCCCATCCAATGAATGTGTCTGTGTGCGCGCGTGCTTTTTTTTTTTTTTTTTTGGGGGGGGGGGGGACGCATATCCATGTTTATATCTCTCCGTTTGACCAGCGAAAAAGATGAGCTCACTCCGGCCACAGCCAGCAAGCAATAATATCCAAAGGCCCCCAACAAAATTTTTGATCAAGTCTTCAGATCATCAGACATTGCAGATGGTATGCAATGTGTTGTCAGAATATCAGAAGTCGTTGCCTTGGCCGTGCTGGTCTTTAGCACCACTATCTGCAAACAGAGGTATATTGAAGAAGTTACAGTTGCAGCTGCCAGCTCATCTATTGCTAATATAAATATCATCATAAGCATATCCATTTTATTAAACTGGTAATAACACAATCAATTTCCCCCTTCTTCTGAAACGTCTTGCAAGGCACGAACGCGATTTGGAATATTAGAGAAAAGTGAAAACATTAAAGCTGTCCCAATATTAACAATTCATAGTAGTAACCTCTAATCAGAACCAATTCTTTACAAGAACTTACGCGACCTTATACCCCGAAAAAACAAAAAAATAATAACAAAACATATGCTCAGGCGTTGAGAACAATTCTTTAGTAGACACAATGTGTTTGGTAACTTCAAAATTTTTTAATTTTAACAAATATAAACCAGAGAATGCAAGAATCACATTTACCTGTTGATATTCCAAATCGAACTTCAGATATTCATCATCACAGCTCTCAACCATAATGGCCAAACTCTTCAAATTCTTCACAGGCTTATCATTGAAAGAAAGGACCTGATTACATCAATGGAACAATTTTTCAAGGGCATCCAAGTTATGCCACAAATTAACTCATTGGATAATGGTTTACATCATGTTCACCTACCTGAGTGTTAACAATATCCTCGTATCCAATATTAATGTCAGCCACAAGAACCTAGCACCATATTTCAATTTCAAGCATAAGCAGATTAGGTACTAAATATAACAGACACATATGCATCTACTGGAGAAAGAGGGCAAGAAACCTGAGAAACGACCACCAACTGTTCATCAACAGATTGCGCCATTGCATGTAGATGCTTGTCCAGAAGCTTAACTGGAGCATCAAATTCGTAATCCTTTCCATACTAAAAGGTGAAAAGACAAAAATTAACGCTAGTAACAAAATGAATTTAAATAGAAAATACTTTAAGCTATGTATTACTTGTAACAAGAAACTAAAATATCATGGGAATCAAATTCTCAAATAGAATATAGCCAAAAACACTCTGCGTGCTCACATTGCTGCATGCATACATAAATTACATGGAAAAACAATCACAATATTCCCTAGATCTAAATTTGTACATGCCCCCCCCCCCAACACACACACACACACACACACACACAAATAAACAAAAGAGGGGCTAAAAAGCTAGCGGATGGCCACTACCTCAGAACGTAAATACGGCACAGAAACAGAAGTAAAAACAAATCCAGCGATGATGTAGTAAGAAGGAGGTCTGCCCTTGATGTGTGCAGGTATAAGCCGCTTATGTGTTGATAGTCTAACGTTAAATTCAAGCATCTTTGAATCACGGAGAACCTTTACAAGAGCAGTGTCCCCAGTGAATTTTTGAGAAACAAGGTAACTGAAACCAATGCGCTCCCCATGCCTGAAAGGAACTAAAAATATATACCAAAACTAGATGTTAGCTCTGACAACTGTAAAACGAGATAAACAGGATCATTTCCCCAAAAAAAAAAAATGGTTGCATAATTGAACTAGAACAACGTAATAACAACAATTAGTGATATTCATAACAGAAATTCCTGCTAGATGTTTACAAAGTGTTGATATATGATTTGGTCAAAATCAAGCCATGTTAACATCACATAGCAGTATGAAATTTTAATGGTGTCAGTGGCTTCCCTTCTGTTGATAAATATTTGAAATGACTCCAAATTTGCAGCAACGATCACCAATATTTGGTTTCAATTAAAATACAAAAGCATAGGAAGCCACACCGTTCACAAATCACAAATAGTATAGCTTAGCTCGAGCATTGCGAAAATGCATAGGATACCCACTAATTCAATAAAGCGAAGGTTGGTTCAAATTTTTCACATACTAGGAACTGAATTCTCATCAAAGGTTAAAAAATGACCCGAGGTCAGTAATAACTAATAGAAATCATGGGTAATACTTTCAAACCGAACTGGTTATCAAATGGGAATTCACATTTAAAGGATCTGATTATTAATAAATTGAAAATGAACTGCTTTTTAAAATATGAACAAACATATAGATACATATTAAAAAAAAATACCCACAGGCTTATGATTGTTTAGCTCATCTTTATGCACATATCTCACTCGTGGCAAACTAAGTCTTGCATGGAACCACTTACAAGTCCCATGCATGCTGCTTGGCATCTATTCTGTATCCCTGGTTAGTCGTCCATGTAAAACATAATGTTAACTGGATCAGACTACCGAAAAACTAGTGAACCAGTGCCTAGTCCGATCAAACATAGCCAAAACTAGCCTAGCAAGAAACCAATCAAAAACTAGCATAACCGCTAAAACTGAACAGCCCTGGTTGCTAAAATAATAGGCTTTGGACTTTGAATTTTGTTCAACAGAGAGCTGGCCCATTTTATTATACTCATCCATCCCCTTTGCCTTCCCCCTTATAGGATCAAAACCCGTTCTCTTTGTCCAACCAAGTGATATAGGAATTTTCATGACTCCTTCCCCAACTCAAACCCAGTTGAATGAATCACTCTTTCCTTTAAACCCATGTATAAACTAACCTGAGTTGAAGTTTATTACGCATCAAATTATACAAGAGTTAGCGTGGACGAGTAGCATACGGGTTAGTATAAAGTAAAAAATGGGTCATTACCTGTTCCATCATTGGCAATATTGACACCATCAAAGCTAAGAATAACATCAGACGGCTTCAAGACATGGGATCCTGCAGCTGTGGGTTCTACTCTTCTTATGCGCACACCTTTCTGATCTGGCTCCATCCCCATTGACATTCGTAGATCAGGATTTTCCATCTTCTGCCACTCAACTCCAAGAATTGGAAATCCTGACAAGCATGATACCGAATATAGAGTCAGATTAGTACTGAAACCATCCCATCAAACATACAATAACTAGAAAACATAATTGGAAACAACAGCCAGGCACCAACGGAGGGACACCAAAAATATATTGTCAAAACAAAATTCAAGTTATCTTCCCCATTTAAGTTCATTATGTTATAATGTTTTCAGCAGGAAGAGAGGCTGACTCAAACAAAGAAATGACAGGTGTCAGTATATGCTCCATCCCTACCTGTATATGCTCCATTCCTTTCATAATCATGAATAAAATGTAGGATAACTGGTGTAGGTATTACATATCCTATGTTCTCCACATCTTCATTTTTAAGAGACTGAAAGGCAATTCCAACACATTTTCCCTTATCATTGAAAGCAGGCCCACCAGAGTTTCCAGAGTTTATTGCTGCATCTATCTGTGAAGACGGAAGGGCACAAGAAAGTTCATTAATATCATCTATAAACAAATAACTTGAGGCGTGGAGACTTAAACCAAAACACTCAGAAAATCCAAACCTGCAGTCCCAGAAGTTCAGTTGAACCATGAACATAAGAGAGTATCTCAATTCGTGACACAACACCACTAGTTACAGAGATTGTGTCACCTCCAATTGGATAGCCCACAACAGTCACAGCATCCTGCAGTGCAGGTAAATTTCCAAACTCCACAGGTGAAACTCCATCCCAGAATTCATCATCACTCACCGTCAACATAGCTGAATTGTCATCCAAATCCAAAGGAAATTAGCATGATAAATGATTTGTTCAGACACGCATATAGTAAGCTATTAGAAGAAGATAAATAAATGAAATATAGTTGAGACTTTTCACACACTTGAATGTATGGAGTAGCATGATCTTGGAGCATGAGTCCCATGTTGGCTGGATATGACTCATGAGACATACAACTCCTAAGTAAAGTGAAGGCTCACCCAACTAATCAAGCTATCTTTAAGAGTGCATTATCTTCTGCAAGATGTTCACTAAGACTGCATACTCCTTTGCCTCTAAAGATAGGCTTTTATTGGCCATGCTCTAAAGGTAGACTGGAAGTAAATGGAATGGAAAGTGATATGCGGAAATTCTATG